GCAGCTCCTCACAGCTGACACTAAAGTTTAAAGCAGCACAGCACCAACACAACTCTCATGAAGTTCAGGTTATTTGACACGTTCCTGCCTGTTCTGTGACTTTAATAGACAGACACTTACTTCTTACCTTGCGTTGCAAACTATTTTCAGACTCTGTACCGCTTCGCTCGCTGCTCCTCCCCCTCTCGGTGAAAAGCTATGGCTCGAACACTGGACTCATGGGAAATGTAGTTCTTTTGACTTGTGTTAAAGTGAAGGCTTACTGAAAGAAAACTACAAAATAGCCGCGCCCGTGGTTTTTTTTTTTTTTTTTTTTTTTCATTTTCATTTTTGGTTATTGATTGGTTCCCGCTCCTGTCTGCTCCTGTTAGCTTTCAGTCCGGTCACGTCTTGGTTACGTGAGTTATAATGAGGTTGACTCCGGTCCGGCCGGATTCACGTGACCGGCGGTACTCCCGAAAAAAGGTCATCCTCTACTACACACTGAGGATCTTTTCACTGAACAGTTTTTCTTCAGAAACATCGTGATGTCTGTTTTCTCTGGACACAAACCAGCTGCTCCTGGCTGATGGTGTCTCCAGCAGTAGAACATGTTCACTCTGAGGCTGTAGATGATGATTGTTGCACACACACATACCTGGTTGTCAGTTTGACATATTGTCCCTCACATTCCACCAGCAGGTCACTGGATTCACTGAGGTAGGGTTGATGCAGACTTCTGCACCTCTGTGTCTCTGCCTGAATCTTCTCTGTGGTTCTCTGGGGTTTAGGGCTCTGATCATCTCCCTAATTGACATGAGAACACAACACATCAACAATAACATGGTTGTGTTATTATTGATCAAAAAACATTATCTAGGCTGAGAGATAAAAGCTTAACTGGTCAACAAAATCTTTTACAGCTAAACTTACCTCCTCCATGCAGCTTCCACTGTAGAAAAAGCAGCAAACTTAACGACAAAGTTTGTGACTGTCCTGTGGCCCCCACCTCACTTTTCTTTTGTCTGTCTGTCCTCACATCTGGGTCAGAACCTCCTGTGACAACATAAGCAAACGGTGAACATTAGCTGAACTGTTTAATCCGATGGATGAGCACATTTTTACAAGCTAAGCTTCATCTGTTATTGTCAATCTTTAGTTAGCTTCTGAGTTTAGCTAGTTATGTAGATAAAATAAATTTACACACTAATATCTTAAAGTTAGTGTTACAAGGATTCTAGTTTAATTCACTGCGATGTACGTGTTAAGCTGCAGTAATGTTAACAAACGTAATCTCACCAGCTGAAACAAACACGGCTCCGTCCTCGGAGTTCTTTGAAGACGAGTCGGGCCGTGGAATGTTGATTCAGTTTGTTCAACACTCACAGACTGACTTTAATGCTGAGAGGAGGAGGGGAGGCTGCTGTCCTTCTCTCTTCTTGCAGAAAAACACGGAGCAACTTTCTGCTCGTAAACAGAAAGTTGCGTGTGTTGTCGAAGCCGTTCGACAACACACTGCACATGTGAACCCCGTCTGTGGGCGTCACCAGCCCTATAGACATACAATCTGTAGGGCAGCTCTATACAGCTCTGCGTGTAAACACGTAGTCTGTTTATCAAATGTCTGGTGTTTTACCTGCCTGCGTGCTGAAACCATGTGACACGTTCAGCCAATACCGAAACGACACTGAAAAAAGAGTGACGTTTCAATCCATACACCGACCGGTGCAGTTCGGTCGGTGCCATAAAAGAACCTCGGTTCGGTACTCAGCCCTATTCAATACCAATAAATACAGGAAAAATAAGAAAAAGATGTGGAAGTTGAATGAGTTCAGCGCACGATAAAGTCACAGCAAGAGCAGTAGTGAGTGATGAGGTGGGTGATGAATAGGGTGATCATGGTTTGTTTTAGAAGAGGAAGAGCGGACCAAGCCCAGGTCTGACTCCGCAGAGAAGTGGGTCCAGAACCCCTTGGCTGGGCCATCAGAACCAAGCATCAGTTCTGAGCTCTGGAGAACAAAGGAGGATGTGGATGTTGACCCGGAAGGCAGACTAATAGAAGAAAATACACTTTTTTTAAAAATTACCAAAAAAACAAATGTTTTGTCAATTAGAAATGATAATAATGTAGAGGTTTTAAACAAAAAAAAAAAACACTTAAAGCATTAAAATAAAATAAAAATAATTAAAATTAAATATTTATTTGAGGCTGACTGTTCCAAAAGACTAGTTTTTAATGGAGGAAATATTTAAAACTAGTATTTTTAAGCAGTTAAATAAGAAGGTTGATTTCCCCCCTGAGTAACATGAATAATTAAAGTTAAAGGGTTAAAACCGTCATATTCAAATAAGATAATAATGTCTGTAGTTAGACAAAACAAAGTGAAGTTTTTGAGCAGCATGCATTCTGCTGGGACTGCTGCAAATAAAAAAATTAAGAAAAATTCCTTGTGAAATAATTATTTATTAGCTTCTTGTAAATGTATGTTATCTCCCGTACAAATTTGTTACATCTGCTGCTAATTATGACATCATCATTATTTTCATGCCTGTGATGCTGGTAAGCATAGGCGTCACATCAGTTATATGTGAAGGGGACATGTCCCCCTCACATTTAAAACATATTAGTTTGGAACCACACACACACACTTACCTTGAAATATGAGTTCACCCAGCGCTGTTTCTATTTCTTTGTGAACAAATCCATTCCATTTGATTAATAGGAAAATACTCAAACCACTAAAAGTCCACTCTGGGTGTTCCTGATTACTCCCAACAACTCTCCATACAGTGTTTCCTCTAGATCGCTTGGCTTGGCAGGGCGCTCATCTTTTCGTGAGTTTAATTGATGAGGCGGGGGGGAGAAGGGGGAGACACCTCTGTGTTGCGCGCTAGCTTAGCACTATGTTTTTGCCGGCCATTGTCAGTGGGGGTGGGGGGTTCTTGGGATGCTTGAGACAAGCGGAGCGTGCTCTTTTCAAACAAGGAGAGCTGTTGGTCAGGCTACTTCTTGTTGCTCTCTAAAATAGTTATTGAATCAAGTGTTTACATCTGTAGGTAAATGTTTAACAGCTTGTTGAAATACGCCAGAGTAAAGGAAATGGCATCTACTTTATTCAAAATCTTCTGGAGGAGGACCCCCAGACTAGAGCTGTCATTTTTAACCCGAGCCCTAAGCCTGGCCCCACCTGACCCAAATTCGGGCCGGGCCATGATGATGTGCTGGCTGGGCGGGCTGGGTCGGTGTCGGGTTTTCGATTGGGTGAGTGGATCAGCCACGATCCAGTTATATGATAACATGGCCTGCCATACATTCACCAGCTGCACAAGGCCATTTCACCATGAGCTGACAGGCCTTGAAACCGGTAAAACGTTCAGTTAAGCTTCAGATGGACTGTACTGCCAGGACGCGATCCATCGCCCAAATGGACGTTCATTCAGACGCTGCACTCAGCGGACGCGCGCGGCCGATGACCCAAACAGATGAGACCCCAAAGCAGACGTGTCAGAGCAGCCCGCGTGTCTGAGTAATGCAGAAGAATGCAGCAGAACCAGGGTTTAAATGTTCTTTTATGATCATGAAAAGACAAACAGGTGCACCTTTCATTCAGCTGCGCGTCCCCGACCGTTAATAACAAATTAAAAATGTCAAGGTTTTTTCTGGGTTTGGACATGTAATTACTGTTAATTCGTCAGGGCGGGTGGGGTTCGGAAATGATGATTGCGGGCTGGGGCCGGGTTGGATCTGTTTTTTTGGGCCCGAATGCAACTCTACCCCAAACCCCCCTACCAGTGTGCCCACCCCCACCCCATTACAGATGCTTCTGATGCTGTTAAGACATTTTCATCAGTGTTTAGTTTGTGTTCACAAAAACATTTTCACTGCACACAACATCTTTGTGTTGATGTTGGAAATGACTCCAGCTCCTGCTCTGAAAGTTATTGAGAACGCTGGGAGTCCTAAAACCAGCTCTGTGGAACTTCTTCCTTTTAGATTGTGATACTGACTATTCTAAATTTATTACAAATTAATTGACTGAAATGTGTGTGTTCAATGTGTTTGCTGTGGGGCAGTACTCTGGGGCACATTGTTTAAATTCAAACACGTCGTCGTTGCTTGAAGTTGACTCGTGTGTTGTTAAAAGCAGTTTGCACTTTTCAGAGAGCATTTTTAATAAACGTTGGCAATATGTCATGATTTTATTCCTGTTGCCACCACAAAGTTTCAGGCTCAGGATTTATTTTCTTTAAGCCGTGTGAACAATATTTTTCCTACGTGCACTCCGTTCACTCACATCCTTGATGAACGCTACGGCAGATCAATCACACATTTATTCAAATCGCACTCTTCTCTACAGTTACTTTTTTAGTATCAATAATATTATTTCTCCTGGTCACGAGAGCATTCTGACTATTCAGAATTAAAATAAAAGATATATACAATCGCGTGATTACCAGTAGAAATTAATAATTTACTATTTAATAAGAAGCAGTTGATAAGTAGGTTTTAAATATTGAAAATGGTGCAAACACCAGAAAGTCTTAAAAATTAGGCCACCAAAAAGTGGCCTAGACATTTATGTGATGTTTATGGATATTTGTAACATAATTTTTCAATTTGTCATTTTATTTGTTTTTTTAGAAGTTTGATTGTAATATATGTTGTTTTTTTATTTTAGTTTTCTTCTTTTAGCCTGTTTATGTCGGCACAACCACTTATTTCACCAACTTGTCCCGAACAGAACTTGTGTGTGTTTTAGTCAGAAACCTGTTGAGACCAAGTTCAAAGAGCTGCTTTTCATTCATTGAATTAAAGTAGTTTTCATTGAGATTGTAGTAAACTGTGGGCTGCTGCTGCTGCTGCTGCTGCTGCTGCTGCTGCTGCTGCTGCTGC